CATGAGTCAATTCGAAAACATATGAGTACCTTTCTTTAGCTATAATATATTTTTGACAACAAGTGCAGTTCTATCGCTAAACGTGTTTCTTCTCAGTATCGCGGACAGTGTTTGTCACAAAACATATTTCGGGAATCAATGACATGGTTAACGTAAAATACATTTGAGTAATCTGTATTTATATTGAATTAATTTAACTATTAATTAATATACTGCTATTCATAAAACAGCCATCTGTTACCAACTTTATCAAGTTGATGTTCTATTCATATTTGGCCACATTGACTCTGTCATTTCCCTTTTCAATTAAAGTATGTAATTCCAAATTAGAATATTTGTGTTTGTTTAATTTGTTATTTATTTTCTAAATACATTTGTTATTCTGCAGCAATATTTTGTAACTATTCCAAATTAAAAACTGTTTTTTACATATTCAATATATTTATATTTCTTAGGAACTATTTGAGATCAAATAGTTTCTAACAAATATCAATATTGATATGTAAAAAATAGTTTTTTAATTTGGAATAGTTACAAAATATTCAATAGAGACAATTGGCTTTATGCAATGTAAAATGCATGTGTATAAATACTTGAGGTACTAATATAAATACTTTGTAAACTAGTTGGCAGGCTAAATAATTTTGCTCACTTCCAAGTCCAAGGGATAACTGCATGCAAGTTCAGGTGACAGAATGATTCAAAGATACAAGAAATAAATTGTTTGTTGTTTAGCAAATGTGAAAGAAAATGCATTATAAATTTTAATTTGGATAGATGACAGGGATCTGCATGTGTCAAATTGTTTCTTTGCCATGCTGTTAATATATTGATAATGATATATTGAATACAGGGATTGGGATGGAGACCTTCGACAATTTCAGGATTATTAGCCATTTTCTGAATTTAGAATGAATCGTATCAATAGTAAACTTCAAAATTTTAATGGGGCATTTTTATTCTAATGTGCAAAATGGCCCCTGTCTTTCCCAATGCCTGGAATAAATAGCACTTCTTGTAAAATTATATATTTTTTTATAAATATATGAACTTTCCCATTTATGGTGACATTTTTATTCACACAAGAAGTCATAGTGTCATAAATCAATCAGCAGCTGGACAAAATAACCTTGATGGCATGGTTACAATTATTTCAATTACTACTGTCAGATATTCAAAACAAAAATGTGAAAACCCTCAGCCATATGAATATTCATCATGAAACAATTTTATCAAATTATGTAAACATTATTTTAGAGGTGATATATAAAACCTGGTTGTTGGACAATATTTATTACACTTTGTACTAGATGTCTAGGAGTGAGTGAACTATGTACTATGATCTAAAGTACATGAGTGTTACTTAGTTCTTGGTTATGCAGGGGTGAGGTTCTGCTATGCTGTAAGCAAAATATGAAGCAGCACACAGCACCTTCAAGTCACAATTGGCAAAAATGCAAGATCAAATACACTCAAAATATGGAGTAATCACTCAAAGACATTTCCTGTATTGTAAAATATACTGATCAATACATGGGGAAACTAAATGTGCATATATACTATGTCATGACAGTAGATTCTGCAGACACTGGCTGATAGCAGCATGAGTATGATTACTTGTCATGTAATAGTGTTTTTCACCCATTTTTAGTAACTTATATATTCCAAATATTCTGCCAATGAGGCCAAGGTTGGTAACCGGCATTCCATATTTTCCACTATACAGTTAGACCAATATGTTTTAAATAATGGAAAAGAATAATGTGTACTGGTTATTGTGCTATGAACCAGTGTTGTAATCTTACAGCAAATAAAAACAAAGAATTTCATATTTCAACAAAATTCCATGTCATGTAGAATCACATGCCTATGCCATTGCTTAAGTTTAACTTTTCATTGGTAAGCATGTTATTTCATGGAAACTGGAGTAGTAGGGTAACCTAGTGGTTAAACTGTTGACACTTGTCACACTGAAGGCCCGGGTGTGATTCCCCACATGTGTGCAAAGCCCATTGCTGCTCTCCCCAGCATGATGTTGCTGGAATATTGCTAAAAGCGGTGTAAACCCAACTCTCTCACTTGGAAACCTTTGCTATATACACTGAAGATCTAATCTCCTACATCCATTGTTGTAAAATTACTGTCAAATCAATATCATGGCCAAAAGCAGAAATCTTCCAAACCATTCAATTTGTGCTTGCTTTATCCACACTTAAAACACAATAAACAAGTTTTAGATCTATTCTGCAATTATTTTACTAAGACATAATTACTCATAACATATCAAACATTCTTTGCATTTCCCAGTTGCTAAACCTGAAAAAATACTGTAACAGTATCATCTGGAATACAAATGTTCTTTCATGGTCACTCATCTAAATTCTCACTGAATTATCTGAGAGTCCCAAGATGTCACAAGACTTTCCACAACACCCTGCTGGTTACAAGCATTTCCCATGTTTCCTGTTCCAGCAAGTGTCCAAAGGATGATGTGTAGGGCTTTAATATGTTTTATAACTGTATATACAACACTTCAATGACTTGCTGTTTCTTCATTTGCAATGTATATTGCTTGACCACCAGATGTTAAAAGAAATCTGAAGATCTGTTTCAGTTTGTGTTGCTCTTGATGTCAATGGCAATTGTGGTGATAAAGAAATCTATTCCTCCTTCTTTCTCCTCTTAAAGATGTGCATCTGTTCCAACTGAAAAAAATACATAACACACATGAGACCAAGTATTATATACTTAATAAAATGTAAACAGTTCCTTACAATGTTGACATCAAGATATTATTGATAAATTGAGCATGTGGATGTTAAGTTTAACTGGACATGCTGCACCATAACCAAATGCCAAATTTGGATTGTAATAATATATTAATCAAGCTCATATTACAGAATACATTTGCGAGAGACACCTATTCAGAGCTATTGGTATCAATCAAAGTGAGGATATAGTCATCATTATTTACGCGCTATTAAATTATTATTTAATTCATTACATATATTTTTTAATTTTTACACCTGGATTTTCATTGCACATTAAGTTATCTTCTGGATAATTCCAACTGCAAGATACTTTATTTATTAACACAGTTTTTTGGGTACACATGAATGCATTATACCGGATACCTGCCTGCCACTGATAGATATCAAATGCAATCAAACGATTCACCAATCTGCACACATGTCAACTCCACCCCTTACTGTGCGTACCATGCTTAAACAATACCAGCCTTTAAATGAAAACAAAGAAATCCATGTAACAAACTTACCTCGACTAATGAATGGGCCAGCCTGAAGACGACGCTGTGACAACTCTGCATCTGTTTGGCAAATATTCACGTGCTGTTCATGCAACATTGCCTTAGTGCTTTAGCAGTCATTACATGGCATAGGTTTCTGATTCACACAGCCAGTGTCGAGTATGATTATCCACGGCATATCCCATGTAACAATGTTATCGCCATTGCCGAAAAACGTTGTTTGTCACCGGAAGTACTAAACAACGTAATCTCTCGCGAAGTGCCGTGACCTACTTACGGGCCCTATTAGGTCACCGTCAACTTTAACTAGGTCATTTACCTTGATCGGGGTAAGCCTAATGGCGGCCATGTTTGTTTACAAACATTGCAAACGATTGGTTCGGGGTTTTTTTTCTAAAGTTATTTATTTTAAAAAGACTACTACATATAACGCAATTGCATTGCAAAATAATAATGTCTAATAAAGAGAGTAGACATACACTTTAACTTTTTATGTTTTCTTTTGTAAATCTCGGAATGTGTGAGTACAGATTGTTCTAATTATCAATGAAACGGTAAAAGTTGTCAATGAACTTGGATCATGAAAAGTAGTTCCGTCAACCAATCATATTTCTTCTCTGTTTTTCTGACCAATCAACGTTGAGAATCACTGAAAAGCACATGTGCAATTATCACAAAAATAATCACCTGTGTATCATAGCCCGTATAGATAATAAATCCTTCATAGTTTCAGTGTTAAAATATTATTTTTTACGTGAACTATCATTTATAATGAAGCTAAGTCTAATTTCAAAATGGGCATTTAAAAAGTGCCCTTTGTAATAAAATATCATCGCACACTAATTTGCATAAAGCCTCGGTCTGCTCGAAATAAGTCGCTTTGGACTTAGAAATAAACGCATTACTCATTTCTGCACTAATCTCACCTCAGCAAAGTCCTTTTTTATGTTTTTTATCTCCCTACCACTGAGACTGTAGTTAGGCCGAACATTTCAGATATTTCACACTTTCACATATTAACTACATGGATTGTAGATATATATGTGAAAAAGCAGTTGTTTTTTTCTATTTCCGACAGTACTTTAGACACACAATGTATCAGGTTACTAAAACAAACAAGGTTTACCCCACTGTTGAAACAGTGTCCACACGTTCATACACCAACTGCATCAGTGTTAACCACATGATGTTATGGACGGTGACAAGCACTGGTGTTCAAAATGGTCAAGATATGCAGCGTGGGTTAAAATACCGGGTGTATCATATTATCTGATTTTGATGCCGTCTCTACATTTGGCCCAGGAGTATATATTTACCAGTTCCTGGCACAAATCCAGACAACTGAGTCTACAGACAGGACCAAGAGGCTACAGCTGGAACGTTGTGCTACAGATGTTCATTTTTTATCTTTACCAATTGTTTCAGAACTGTATTTTGTAAGACCACCAGCTGTAGGTATGAAAATCTCTTTTCACAATCTTGTACTTCCTTGCAACTGCCTCTTAATGGTGCGTGGGAGCAAATTCTTTCATCTGACTGGCACGATCGTTTATATAAATATCGCGTAAAGCATCAAGTAAGAACAGAAATCTCTGCATCATTCATGACCATCTTGTTACCAAAGTATTCTGTAAAAGAATCCGATCTCCACTCAACAAATAACATCTTACAGCTGTAGTACCTGTATAGTGTGTTTGACCACCAGTACGAGATATAGTAATCTCCTTTCCAGGCTCTCCAGGCTACTGGCTGGGTGCGACTGATCTGATCAAGGAAGGGGAGTTTATGTGGAAGGGGGGCTCTCCCATAAACTACCCAAGCTGGAGTCCTGGGCAACCTAACAACAGAAACAAACAGAACGACGATGAGCATTGTCTTATGCTCCAGAAGACAAGTGGCTATAAGTGGAATGATCTTGATTGTATTTTAAAGATAAAGTTCATCTGTGAAAGGAAAGTGTCCATGTGTTGCTGCAAAAAACTGAAATGTACACAATGACGAATGAAATACGAAACCTCCAGATTGTCCTTTCAACCTTACTTCACAAGTAATCCAAGATAACCAGATCATATCTGACTTCACTTTGGCATATGTATACTGTCATGAGAAATAAACATTAATCTTTCCTAGATTAACCAAATGATTCGTAATTCTTGTTCCACTTACAGGCATCATCCTCATCCTATCTATATTTGCATACACATCGCTAAATAGCTTGAAGAAAGACGACCTTGTAACGCTACATTTTATAACAATGGCATAGACTATGGATTGGGTTACTGGGTATTGAATACACAATGCCACACAGAAAGTGGTCAAATGTAAAATATTTTATATCTGGGAATACATTTTCTCAGCAAAGTACAGATTCTAGTATTTTTGTTAGGTTGGATCCTATCCAGGATTCGAAGCCACTCACACTAAGTCAGGCACCTAATCGCCAGCACACAAAGACTGCAGTATAAACATCGAATTTTGAGACCAAAATAGTAATGATGAAATAATCGGAGCAACTAGAAAATAATTTAAATATCAATAAAATAATCGGACGAACGACAAAATGATCAGAGGAAAACCTGACACACCGTTTCCTTATTTGTTGACACGCAGATAAAAATAACTACAGTTACAAACGGACAAGGATGGTCTTGCCAGGAAGCATGTGGACTCTGAACGCGAACATTTAACCTATAACCATAACACGTGATAAAATTCAGCTATCTTATTGGCTAGTTGCAGTCTTGTTCTTGTGACATATAGTTTGCTCTACAGCATGTGCAGTGTAACAATGTACAGCTTTGCCCTGAACTATTATAGGGAAATCACGACGTTTTTTGGCAAAGTACAGTTGGAAGATATCCCAGTCAGTAATTTCAATTCAGTTTGTTTATTCAGCATGTGTGGCCTCCGGCCCATATACAGATGATACAAAATTGACGTAAACTAATGATGAACAGTCGTATCATTAGTTGTAGCTTGATAATAACAGTCGTATCATTAGTTGTAGCTTGATAATAACAGTCGTATCATTAGTTGTAGCTTGATAATAACAGTCGTATCATTAGTTGTAGCTTGATAATAACAGTCGTATCATTAGTTGTAGCTTGATAATAACAGTCGTATCATTAGTTGTAGCTTGATAATAACAGTCGTATCATTAGTTGTAGCTTGATAATAGCAGTCGTATCATTAGTTGTAGCTTGATAATAACAGTCGTATCATTAGTTGTAGCTTGATAATAACAGTCGTATCATTAGATGCCATTTGGTTGATGAAACTATCTGCTACTACATTGCAAGCTAGGTTTCCATTCCTGAGTTACAATATCAGTAACAGTGCTTAAATTCTGACAACAATACTTCAACACTGTCAACACCTTGAAACACCCAAGCATAACCAAAACCGTAGCTAAATAAAACTTGCTTAACCGAAGAGGCCCACGTATGGTGATCATCATTACCCAGTGACTGGCAATGACTACAACATTTCATATGCCTTACGTGGATACCTATAGTTAGGCATACGAGTAACTCTAAGCCTAAATGTAACACGGAACAAGGATGCCATATAAACTGAGAATCTGCCATATTCGCCCACAACATTCGGAGCCCATTTACTAATGTTAAGAAACCGTTTACTCGCTAAATGTTGTATTCTCTCTAAACACTAGACGCTAGAGAACCGGAACCGTATAACAACATTGCCATAATCTGAAAATCAAATATTGTAAAGACTGACTGACTGAGTTTAGTTTTACGCCGCTTTTAGCAATATTCCAGCAATATCACGGCGGGGGACACCAGAAATAGGCTTAACACATTGTGCCCATGTGGGGAATCGAACCCGGGTCTTCAGCGTGACGAGCCAACGCTTTAACCACTAGGCTACCCCACCGCCCCAAATATTGTAAAGAAAACCATGGAGGAAACTGCCAATGGGAATACATCGTTCTTAAAACTTCAAATAAGGCTTTCTGGGCCTTGATTGCAATAATATTGTAACACTGTGAAAAACTTGTAAGAACAAAACCAAGCTTGTTATATGCTCTTAAAAAAGAGAGACCGCCTCCGTGATGTAGTGGTTAGAACGTCCGCCCGGAGAGTGGAAGGTCGCGGGTTCGATCCCCCGACCGCGTCATACCAAAAGACGTTAAAATATGGTATTTGTTGGTCCCTGTCTGGCGCTCGGCATTAATGGGTACAACAAGGACTGGTCGGCTCGGAGTCAGTGTAATGTGTCTGAGTGGGGTATTAGTGCTTCACTGCGGCATGGTATCTCAGTGGGCTAGCACTATAAAAACAGCTTAAGTCTGGGCTAGTACAAGCAACCGCACATACACATACACACACACGCATGTACGTAGTCATATGAGCGAAATATTCTCAAGCACGACGTTAAACCCAGTTTCACCTCACCTCACCTCTTAAAAAATAGAAGAAGAATCTGAACTTTTAATTAGGATCGGAAGTATAAGCATTCACAAACTTTTCGAAGAGACATATCTTATGGACCCACCACCATGTCTCTTGATCACCACTCCTATAGTCTGTTTGCAGTGAAAACGTACCGATGAATTTCACTTTAAACAAAAAAGTAAATCAAATAAAGTGAAATTAAGATTGCAAATCCTCATAATTTTACCTTGGCAATTGAACATATAAATCTCAGAATTTTATTCAACTTAGGATAAAAGTTATTTAAGAAACGATCATAGATTCAAATCGCTATTACTGGTTTGTATTACAATGGGGTAAGCGCAGTAGTTGGAACAGTGAAACAAATGCACCCGGGTACGTGAAGAGCGTTAACTTAGAACAGCCCTTGTCGTTCTCGGTGTTTCATTTGATGTGCATACCCCCTTGTAATACAAACCAATAATAGCGATGTGAAACTATGATCGTTTGGTAAACAACTTTTATCCTAAGTTGAATAAACTCAAGAGATTTAAATGTATAATTGGCAACGTAAAATTATGAGGATTCGCAGTCTTAATTTCACTTTATTTGTTTTACTTTTTGGTTTAAATTGCAGTTCATTGGTACGTTTTCGTTGCAAACAGACTATAAACACAACGCATGGGATGCACGTGCACAACGCAGTAGCCCCATACACGTGCATGGGGTGTCATTCTTGATTTTGGCGTTTTTCAAGAAGGTCGATAAACCACTGTAGAACATTAAGTTTGACAATCATCTTGCATCTGTTGATCAAACAGTTGTTAGTGTCTGTTTCTAGCCGGGTTTTTTTTTTTCAATTTGGCGTACGGCGTATGTAACGTGATGAACGTTTACGTGCAATTGGCATGTTGCAAACAGGCACAAACCAGTGGTAAATTCCTTCAATGTTTCGAAGTCAGTCATTAGCAGACTTTGGAACAGATATCAGCTAACCAACCGTTCAGGTCGTCCATGGTCAAAAATAAGGGTACAGGATCGTTTCATTCGGACCAGGCTTTAAGAAATCGAGCTGTTACGGCCAGTCAGATTGCAGCAAATCTGTATCAGACTACTGGTATTCGAGTTACGGGTTAGACGATTGGGAATCGCCTCCATGCTGCTCACTTTCATGTTCGACGGGGGGCGGTGGGGAAGCCTAGTGGTTAAAGCGTAAGCTCGTCACGCCGAAGGCCCGGGTTCGATTCCCCACATGGGTACAATTTTCGAAGCCCATTTCTGGTGTCCCCCGCCGTGATATTGCTGGAATATTGCTAAAAAACGGCGTAACACCATACTCAGTCAGTCAGTCATGTTCGACGGCCCCGGGTGTCCCCACCCTTGACCGATCGTCACATGACTGTAAGAAGATAATGGTGTAGGGCACGTAGATGCTGGAGGAATCGTCGTTAGTTATGTTTTCGGAGGAGTGTAGATTCACTTTTGACTTCCTTGATCGGGTCTGGCGACGAAGAAATGAACGTCACGCCAACATCAACGTGAGACCACACGATCGATTCGGAGGTGGATCACTTATGGTATGGGGTGGTATCACTCTGACTGACCGAACCCCTTCTTTCAGGATGACAACGCCCGTGCTCACCGTCCACGCATCGTCAATAATCACCTCAAGTAACATGACATCGGTCGTTTGACATTGCAGACAATGAGCCCTGAATTTTCTCCCATCGAACACGCCTGGGACATGATAGGGAGACGTGTGCGTCAACGTCAAACGCTGGAGGAACTTGGCCGTGCGCTTCAGGAAGAATGGAACAGACTCCCCCAATTGGTCATTGGGAGACTCACCCGCAGTATGCCTCGTTGTCTGAATGAATGTCTGACCCTACGTGGTGGAATCACGCACTACTGAATGAAAATCGTACACATGCAAATTTCACGTCATACACTACTCATCTTTCAAGAGCGATTACTGTACAAACCAACTGTGGCCATAAGGAAGTGATGATGTACTCTCAAAACATTCATTATCATATCAAATTGATTGACTCCGATATATCTCCCATTTTTTTCAATCGTAAATTAAAATTGAATTTCACCTACTTTTTGGAAGACAACATAATTAGAAACTACAACCACATTATTTCTACTGTAGGTCCACTTTTCAAAAAGAGATAATTTCCACCTTTTCTAAAAACAACATTATTTTAGTTTTAGACATATTAACAGTCAAATCCGATGACTTTGGAGAATATCAAGACGCTTCATTTACACTATCTGCAACAAGTACAACGTCATCTGCGCAAAATAACAGAAAAACTTCAATGATAGCAAGATACACCTGAATATCTCTACTGTTTGAATTAATTATTTCATTCGCCAACTCATTAATGGACAAGGAAAATAGAACAGGACTCAAGACGCAGCAATGCCTTACTCCATTCGGACATTCAAAGAAACCTGAAAAACCTCCATTTGTCTTGACACAGGATTTAAATACCTTATACATATACTTAACGCTACGAAACAACTTTCCCTTCAAACCAATTTTGCGAAGAAGTAACAGCAACTTATTTCTGTTTCCACTATCAAAGGTTTTTATGAAATTAACAAAGGCAACATAAAGTTTACTCTTCCCATAGATATGTTTGCACAAGTGTACACAAAGTAAAAAGATTATCAGCCGAAGAATATCCAGCTCTGAACCCAGACTGAGATTCCGAATTCGCGATTCATCATTATCCTAGAGCCCAGATAGTTATTCTAAGAGACCCAATATATACTTTACACAAGATTGACAACAACGTTATGCCTCTATAATTATCTGGACAATCATGAGATCAACGGTACAATAATACCTTCTGACCAGTGCGAAGGGAAAACACCTGAATCGTAAATAGTGTTGAACAGCTTCACCATATAACCAATGAGAAATGGATTACTTTTTAAAATCATTTCCGCCAAAATTATCAATACCTGCTGGTTTACTGCTCACACTCGTCATCACTATCAACTGAATCTGTATCCAAACAAAGCCCATGATTCTCAACAAGGATGTCAGTTTCAACTGACCCACTACCAGCGCTGTCATATAATCCGGTGAAATGAACAACCACATGAAATCGGTTCGGGAGCGCCTCTCCTACGCATATGCTTCAAACAGGACCAGAATTTACGATGATCATTCTTTGAGGCTTGAAAGCATAATTTATCCACCCCTTTCTTATTGAGTGCCTGCTTTTTACCTCTAACTGTTGACAAAACCTGTTTATACTGTAAGTATAATATAAGTATGACGTGCTATACATTTTCTGTGACGTCCTTCTACCTTCTACTATCCAGTTTTAAATCATAACATTCTTCATCATACCACACATTTGTAACAGGTTGATGTTTACAATGGGATGCTTTGACTAAACATTTAGCTGCATACATAGAAATACACATCAACATCAGCATGTGGAGCATGTCAGTTGCATTGCTTATAGATAATTTAATTTCCTCACGGGAAAGATTGGACACATGTACATCCACCTTTGACTCATCCCAAACATATTTATCAGTCCCTGTACAGCTTTCAGTGACAAGCGTTTGGGTTCCTGTTGAATAGGTCAGTCTTAGGGTCCACACGATTTATTCTGGTCTAGTTACAAGGGGTGGCTCTGATCTCTGAGTTTCAGTCCGAACTGCCCAGCACTGCTGGTTCACAATCATTTATACCATCCATTAATTGACATAGCTGACATTCCTTGCCCGTACCCGGCTTTTCCCCCATTCTATGTTTGGTGTAGGTCCCTGTGGTCAGTTTGTGTCTTTCGCCAGGGTTACGTCTCCCCCCCATCGGATTCTTGACCGATGGGGCAGGGGTGACTCGGGGGTCGTATTGTTACTGAGTACCTCCAACAGGACAACATGACCACCTTGCCATGGCCAGCACACGGGGGTCGTATTGTTACTGAGTACCTCCAACAGGACAACATGACCACCTTGCCAAGGCCAGCACACGGGGGTCATATTGTTACTGAGTACCTCCAACAGTAGAACATGACCACCTTGCCAAGGCCAGCACACGGGGGTCGTATTGTTACTGAGTACCTCCAACAGGACAACATGACAACCTTGCCATGGCCAGCACACGGGGGTCATATTGTTACTGAGTACCTCCAACAGGACAACATGACAACCTTGCCATGGCCAGCACACGGGGGTTGTATTGTTACTGAGTACCTCCAACAGGACAACATGACAACCTTGCCATGGCCAGCACACGGGGGTCATATTGCTACTGAGTACCTCCAACAGGACAACATGACCACCTTGCCATGGCCAGCACACGGGGGTCGTATTGTTACTGAGTACCTCCAACAGGACAATATGACCACCTTGCCATGGCCAGCACACGGGGGTCGTATTGTTTCTGAGTACCTCCAACAGGACAACATGACCACCTTGCCATGGCCAGCACACGGGGGTCGTATTGTTACTGAGTACCTCCAACAGGACAACATGACAACCTTGCCATGGCCAGCACACGGGGGTCATATTGTTACTGAGTACCTCCAACAGGACAACATGACAACCTTGCCATGGCCAGCACACGGGGTTGTATTGTTACTGAGTACCTCCAACAGGACAACATGACAACCTTCCCATGGCCAGCACACGGGGGTCGTATTGTTACTGAGCACCTCCAACAGGACAACATGACCACCTTTGCCATGGCCAGCACTCGGGGTCGTATTGTTACTGAGTACCTCCAACAGGACAACATGACCACCTTGCCATGGCCAGCACTCGGGGGTCGTATTGTTACTGAGTACCTCCAACAGGACAACATGACCACCTTGCCATGGCCAACACACGGGTGTCTTATTGTTACTGAGTACCTCCAACAGGACAACATGACCACCTTGCCATGGCCAGCACACGGGGTCGTATTGTTACTGAGTACCTCCAACAGGACAACATGACCACCTTGCCATGGCCAGCACACGGGGTCATATTGTTACTGAGTACCTCCAACAGGACAACATGACCACCTTGCCATGGCCAGCACACGGGGGTCATATTGTTTCTGAGTACCTCCAACAGGACAACATGACAACCTTCCCATGGCCAGCTCACGGGTGTCATATTGTTACTGAGTACCTCCAACAGGACAACATGGCCACCTTGCCATGGCCAGCACACGGGGTCGTATTGTTACTGAGTACCTCCAACAGGACAACATGACAACCTTGCCATGGCCAGCACACGGGGTCATATTGTTACTGAGTACCTCCAACAGGACAACATGACAACCTTGCCATGGCCAGCACACGGGGTTGTATTGTTACTGAGTACCTCCAACAGGACAACATGACAACCTTGCCATGGCCAGCACACGGGGGTCGTATTGTTACTGAGTACCTCCAACAGGACAACATGACCACCTTGCCATGGCCAGCACACGGGGGTCGTATTGTTACTGAGTACCTCCAACAGGACAACATGACCACCTTGCCATGGCCAGCACTCGGGGTCGTATTGTTACTGAAGTTACCTCCAACAGGACAACATGACCACCTTGCCATGGCCAGCACACGGGTGTCTTATTGTTACTGAGTACCTCCAACAGGACAACATGACCACCTTGCCATGGCCAGCACACGGGGGTCGTATTGTTACTGAGTACCTCCAACAGGACAACATGACCACCTTGCCATGGCCAGCACACGGGGTCATATTGTTACTGAGTACCTCCAACAGGACAACATGACCACCTTGCCATGGCCAGCACACGGGGGTCATATTGTTTCTGAGTACCTCCAACAGGACAACATGACAACCTTCCCATGGCCAGCTCACGGGTGTCATATTGTTACTGAGTACCTCCAACAGGACAACATGGCCACCTTGCCATGGCCAGCACACGGGGGTCGTATTGTTACTGAGTACCTCCAACAGGACAACATGACCACCTTGCCATGGCCAATACACGGGTGTCTTATTGTTACTGAGTACCTCCAACAGGACAACATGACCACCTTGCCATGGCCAACACACAGTCAAGACTTGTCAGGGTTACCTTTGGACGACACGTACATCACCGTCAAAACCCACCGACCACTCTCAACGATCTGGGAGCTACCCTGCAGGAAGAATGGGACGTTTGATTTGGAGCATGCGTGGGATTGTCCCAAGAAGAGAGAATAGAGTAATGAGTTTGACGTTTCATGGTAAATAACGTGACAGACCGTAAGGCGCTTTGGCTTGTCATCTGACTAAATCTATGGTCCCTTGACGTTCAAGGACTAATGCAAATCTTAGTCAGTCTGTTACACTGTTAAACTATTTATCTAAAGAAACAAAAATCAGAAGACACAAATGATCAATTGTGGTGACACCTGTGTATTGAATATCCCCTGTTTAATAGTGGAGATGGATATACATAAGATCTTAAAGACGAGGGGTCGTGATTTAAAAAGTCTGGAACATGACTAACTGACGCGTTGTTCCTCCTGTGTTGCCTATTGAGAGACAAAACCAAATACCACTACAATAGCTAGTTTATGGACATGTGTTTGCCACGTGTGTCATAGGTGTGACAGGATACCGTTACTTGTCTGGCTTATAATATCTTTAAAGGGGTACTCGGCCCCACTAAATGGGTAGCCCTACCAAGCCCGAATTAAGTTATTCAAAACGATCTTTTATTGTCTGTTTACTCAAATATTAAATTGTTATGAATCGAACGATTAGTCACATGCAATGTCTGACAGGGAACTAAAACAGCGCCACATCTTGACTGGAAATGGACCTATATGTGGCTCCTGAGTCACAACCGTATTTCCCTTCAGGAAATTTAGGTAGTATTTCATTGTCTGTTCAACATTGGCAATCAACGACCATGTTGGGATACATAAAAGCTGCTTATTGTGTCCAAAGCCAAACGCGGCGACTTCGAGTGCTACGTTGACACACCAGTGGCCACAAGCAGCATTGTCTCCCTGCAGTATGAGTCTCAGACTGGTGTTCGTCTCACTGTGCGCACTTGCATCAGTAACTGTTGCTGAAGGTAAATATTTTCATCATAATATTTCAAGTTTAGTTCATCTTACTATGTGAGCCTCTTGTCCGGGATCTGTCAAATAACACTGGACCGTTGAAACGTCATATTTCTGAATTAAATTTGAGTTTGTTAAAAAAGTCCGATTTCAATATGGCTGTCAAAGCACATATGGTCTGTATTTCCTGATTTTTTTCTTCGCTTGACATTTACATGTTCATGTCCTCGGCCGTATTATTGCTTGAATACTATTGTCCAAATAAAATTCATTCACATTTCAGGACATATTTTCTTTAAATCTATAGATCTTAGTTAGAAATTTGCCAGGAAGTACTGCTATTTTGAAACGATGGTGTCATAGTTACATGTCTGTTCTTACATTTGTGTATTAACAATGAGGGGCGGTGGGGTAGCCCAGTGCTTAAAGCGTTCGCTCGTCACGCCGAAGACCCTGGTTCGATTCCCCACATGGGTACAATGTGTGAAGCCCATTTCTTGTGTTCCCCGCCTTGATATTGCTGGAATATTGCTACAAGCGGCGTAAAACCATACCCACTTACTCAATCACTTACCAGTGAAAATGTAAGAGGTCTGACTTTGAATCCGTTAATCGTTGTGTTGTGTTAAAGTTTCCACTTTTATGGATTGTAAGTGTGTTAACAAGACGCCACTGCCACTGAGCAGATACATGTATGTTTTAACGTGCTCCCCTTTGCTTCAGTACTGGAGTTCCCTATAGCTGAATGTGGAATTGTACAAACGTCCAATAACCAACAGATGAATATTTAGTCTGCTGAATTGTTTTGCAGATACGACTCGGTGTCCTAGGGGATTTCTTGAGCACGGATCTTCTTGCTATTGGTTCTCCAACATAACGGGATCATTTGCTGAGGCAAGAGTAAGTATGTAACTGTTGTATTTAGACAGAAACTTCACGACACGTAAGCATCCGGCTTTACTGAGCTGGAATCTTAAACCTTATAGACGTCACTGGTGTACGCTGGTAGTATATACAATAGCGGTACGAGATCAATTCCAAGAAAAGACTCTGTAAAGCTTTATTTATGAAATAAAGCTTTTGTCAGGCCCTTATCTCTCTCCGCTAGTGTGTATACCACTGTTTGAATCCCCAGTTAACTTCCTGGTCACTATGACCGCGAACCAACACTTTCCTGATCACGTGACACTATTGTGATCGCCCTATATCATGTTGACCTCGACGAAAAAGTTTAATGTGAATCGCCTATGAGCTCTTTGGTCTTCGTGATGAAAGCTTGTTGGGCTTGTTGTACCCCTTGTTCTACGTACTTTTTTTTCTCGGCTTCGCTGACGGCAATCTTACGAGACTTGGTTCGAATCTCTTGTTTCATCTCGTGGTACTTGGTGAGCTCAGAGAGGACCAAACGAAACTCCTCCTCCAAGATCTTGTTGTCAGTGAGGGCCGTGGTCACTTACCGTGTTCAGCTTTGCTTCAGCTAGAACCCTGATCTCGTTGTGTTTCAATGCTTTACCTTGCAGTCTGCGGGATACAAACTTAAACACCATCCCCACCAACCCTGACACCCCAGCTGTTATCTCGATGCCTAGCACTATGGGTGCGGCCACGATGGTGGTCAACAACCCAACACCTACCGCCCCTAGTCCCATGCTGGTTGTCATAAGGGCGGTATCAGCCCTGTCCACAACATTGAAAGCTCTATGGTACTTCTTGTATAACGCTGCCCGTCTGTCGCGGTCTTGTTCTAGTTGGCGTTTTGCGTCGCATAACTGCCTCAAGCGGAACCCATCTATAGTTTCCAGGGTCTTCGCTACTTCTTCTACGACTGTTTTATACTAACCAACGGGGTTTTTAATTGGTCTTCATTTAATAGTCGATCAATGTATATTTGAAAGCTGATAAGGCCTAGCCTCTTGGGTAGGATAATAAAGGAGGTCAATAGGTGACGTTTGTTTTATACTTCAAGGGGGTGTGTTATTAAGGGCACACCCCCAGTGAGGGGTCCGAGCTCAGTTATATCACGATACGACAAGGGAGGCCAAAATGGATATGAATCTGACAAATCTATTGTGGTAAAGGTAAAAAGGCGCTAACCCTAACCCCCCATCCAGACTCATCAATGCCGCCTTTGACAAAGACTTCTATGATGAGTGTGGAGCCTGGGGACATCATCATAGAATATGGTAGGTCAGCGTATAAGTTGAATGATAAAGGTGCACCACTGGCTGTATCTAACATGTAGCCCGGGCGATGTAGTGTTTGGGAAACTCTTAGACTCTGAGGGGCCGTGGTGAAAACCCCGAGCAAGATACCGTTGTTCTTAATTTCGGTGATATAACCATCCTTGTCAAATGAGACGTAAGGTGTGGTGAGGGTCATGTTGCTCAACCATTCGGGTTCTTTAATGTCTGCCAGGGACACCCGCCTATACACGTTGTCTTTCAAGTGTAGGACGTATAAGGTGTATTCCTCGCCGTACTGATCGAATCCCTCTGTGTCTCCTAGGTCCCCGAGTGTGATGTTGGGGCGATGACTGGTCATTGCTATATTATTATTACAAGATAGTTTCCAACTGTTTTTCTGATAACTTCTCAGGGGTGCACCTCACCCCCATGAGGTGTATGTTGTCGGGTAGGAAGATCTTGGTGAGTGATATCGTGTCTTCCACGGTCACAGTGACCCCCTGCAGACTGGTGTGGGAGTCGACACCCACCCGCACGTAAACAGTGCAAACGTGATAGTTTGATCCCCTTCACAACTTCCACTTCGCGCTGCGATGGTTCACCTAGGTAGACTTGGATGACCAGCGTGGAGTTCGCTGGTAGACTCTCCAGGATGTTGACCACGCCTTCGAATTCAGACACCACCTGCAACCCCACGTTTTGCGTCCCGGGCTTGCTCGACAGCATGTGGGCTGCCATATTGGAGAGTGGGCTGATGACTACACTACGCCTCTGCGTCGGGACGTAAGCCACGAGCAGGGTTCCGTTGTTCACGACTTTGTTTAGCTAGTTGTCTTTGTTCTCCATGAACACGTATGGCGAGAGCCGTGCCTAATGTTGAGAAACCAGTAGTGAGAGGGTAACAACACCCACTTGTCGTTGTCGGTGAAGACGAGGGTATACGGCTTGTTTCGGGCGACGGTCGTGCTCTCGACGTCTTCTAGGTCGAGCAGTTTGCCGCCGAACGATGGGTATACCGACCCTCTATCATCACCGACAACAGCTGCGGACTAGGTCGAGCCGAGTGTTGAGGGCCGCTCTTGATATATCGACTATATCACCTAGGGTTCTACCGGAGGGGACTTCAACGCGCATTTGTAAATGCTGTTTGTAAGTTGTAAAGGATACAGTCCACCCGCTACTCCGGGGTCGTCGAAAAGATGGGTTTACCACGCGGAGTTTCGTGCGGTGTCACCAGATTGAACAATTCGATTCGAACGTGGACACGTGTGGGCGTTTTGTGGATTTCGTCGCGGAGGGCGCTGGTGGAGTGCGGATAGCGCTGTTCCAGCATCGTGGAGTGCCGGACTGCTTCACGATGCTCAGAAACAGTTCGTGGCTAACGTCGAGGGATGCTATTAATGCTCCAGTTGATCTACCGAGTGCCATCCAACGCGGTTACCCTCATTTGATTAAAAATTCCTTCAGCCGTGACATACACCAGCCCAGCCACAACGATGGCTGCCCACAGGTTTTGCCGGAGCCACGTGGCATGTTTTAGCCAGCATGCTCAGCAGCCACGAACGATGCTACCCAGGATGCGGGCAGGACCCGGCGACCTTACCCGCGAAGTTTAGCCAGGGCCTCCCCGAGTTTCCAGGTGTCTTCTAACCCAGTCTCTGGCGTCGCCACCACTTGGGGGTGTTGGTGTACCTCCACCCGTCAGCGATACAACCAGTGTCGATATGATGAAGCCCAATGCAGTCAGAACGCTGACGATGTTGATCCCTTGCTCTTGGAAGAGGTGGAAACCCCGACCCCGGCCCCGACACAGGAGGCCCCGGCACAAGTCACTAAGCAGAAGAACCCTAAGAGAGTCGCCGCTGGTAGAAAAGGTGGTTTGGCTGAGCGCCACAGTAACTATACTCTGTGGGTTGTAGGTGCAACTGCTGCGGTTGCCGCGGTTTTCATGCTACGTAAATCCCCAAAGCCAACCACACCCCCACAGAAACAAGTAGAGGTCAACCCCCATATTATGTTGTAATTAAATATATGTTTCTATATCATATATATCATGTCTGAGGGAAAACGTTCGTTAACGAAGCATACCACGCCACTGTGGTCGCCGGCCCTAGCCGTAGGATACACTCTGTTGACCAAGATGGTCCTCAAACAACCGACTACCAAGCATGCTCATCATGAACCTGGGTATGGCGATGGCCACCAAGGACATCCTCGTGAAGCAAGGGGATCATATCGGGGAATATTTTTGAAGTAAATATAGGCATATATAGGATGGCTACGATCGCTATGATGGTCGGGGGCATTAGTCAACGTCCTGGAACGCGAAGAAACGTATGCAGAGGCTCGATTACATTAACGAACAACTCAAGCCATGCCGTTCGAACGTTCAAGGACTTCGACGATGCCGCGAAAAAACACTACCTGCTAACCGGCAAACAGCTCGAACCAATCGAGGAACCCACACTCTCCCAGGACTACGCACCCAGCCGGGGCAAAGGACCGAGAACTAGCCTTCGTCATGATAGGCCTAGCAGCGACTGCGTTAATCGCAAAAGCAATTAAACTAGGTACACATATGAGTATACAATGAGACCTGCCCCGTATCGATGCCAGTGCGTGCTTATGGGGAAGACCAAGACCTCTGCGGTAGGAGATGCAGGACCGAGGTACTACTGTTGTTTCACAGGAGGTGTTTTCGCGAACTACACGTGCTCCGTGCGGTATCGAGGGGTTAAATGCAACTACTGCTTATGTAAAGCCCACGGGGCAAACGTAGTCCGCGCACCAGCTTATCTACGAGAGGAAAAGGACTACATAAACGAACGTAGGCGCCTCCTTAAAATGGAGGCCTAATTAGAGACTGTACACCTAGGTATAATAATGCCTGCATTCGTGCGTACCATAACCCCGAAGGTTACCTGAAAAGCTGGAAAGCTGAAAGCATACCCATGACCGGCATCAATGCTCTGATCACCGGTATACTCGAAGAGGAACTGAATGACCTGGGACGCTTCCAATTTCATGCAAGTGGCATGGGCTAAGGGTGGCGTTAGGTATACTTTCCCCATCACAGGTGGGCGAGAAATCACGACTCAACCTGAGCTAGATAAGTACCTCAACACCTCATTACAAAACATACAAGAATACCTGGAACGCTTCCCCCAAGGTTCAGAGCGGGTTGAGTGCAGAATCAAAACGGTCTACCTAAGCATAGCCGATTACGACGCTGAAGTAGCCCTACTAGCACCAGCCCTCCACCCGCTCACAGCAAAGTTCCACTAAGGATTTTATGGCGCCTCCTTTATTTTTTAGTTAAGGTTGGAGGAGTTACCTCCCTTGCTGGTGACCCAATTAGAGATTGTATACACCTTGGTATAACAATGCCTACTGTCCGAGCTCAAGCATATTGCGAGAGAACGAGGTGTAGTGGAGTACTCTCGATTGAGGGAAACCCCAGCTGTTTAGCTTACTAGACATTCAACCCCCTCCAACGGTGAAACAACTCAGACTCCAAACCAGAGGCTGGGGCTGGGGGTTATTCCCGTATGAGGAAAGCCGGGCTAGTCGCACTGTTGCACACACACACGTACAACGACTCACGGTGAAACAACTCAAACTCAAAGCATTCCCGTATGGGGAAACCCGAGCTCGTCGAACTGTTCCATCAGCACAGAGTCGTTGATCTACAGTTTGTGCGCACTGAACGTGCTTCTA